GGGAGGGGGGCGGCGGGAGGCGGCCGCTGGGTCCTGTGCGCTCTGCTGCTGGGGGGGTCGGGACAGTCGAAGCGGCGGTGGAGGTGGGGGAGACGGCGGCAGCAGAGGAGCGCCTGTGTGACCTCTGCTGGGACGCGCCGCGCTCGGTCCGCTTCGCGTGCGGCCACGCGCTGTACTGCGAGACGTGTGCGCCGCGTGTGCTGGAGCGCGACAGCAACTGCCCGGCCTGCCGCCAGCCGGCGCTGCCCATCGCCGCAACTGGGCGGCTGGTGGCGGCGCAGACGACGTTTGTCCACCAGCCGCCCTCGCGCCCCGCGCCCCAGGCTCAGCCCGTGGGCGCCACGGCGGCGGTCGGTAGGCGAGGGGGGAGAGGGGGGCGTGGACGGGGCGGGCGGGGCGGGCGGGGTGGGCGGGGCGGGCGGGGCGCGGGGCGCGGCGGCTCTGCTTAGTGTTTTTACACTTCATGAATCGCCGAGCGGCACCCGCACGCTCAGCGCAGGCGAGATCTAGAAAAGCCAACGCGACAGCCGCGCGACCCGCGAGCATCACGGGTGTGCTGGCGTGCGCGTGGCCCGTCGTGTGGCGCGTATCGCGTATAGAGTTGTGCCCCGAGGCCCGAGCGGACACCGCTCACCGGACTGGGGCGCGGACGCGCGCTCGTGCCGCGCCTCGCCACATCGACACCCCCCACACCGGCGCCCCCCGCTCGGGGTGGGGTGTCTGTTCTCAAACTTCTGTTCGGCACCTCCCATGCTGGCCATTTCGAGACATTCGCCAAGAACGCTAGCTACATGGGAGGGCTTCGTGAAGGATGGATTGAAAAACATTCGAACAAAGAAGAGGCGACGGGAGGAACCGGCGGAGGATGCAGTGACGTGAGACACACACACACACACACACACACACACACACACACACACACACACACACACACACACACACACACACACACACACACACCGCTCACCCACGCGCACTGGGCCTTGCACTTTGAATGCCGTGGGGCTCCTGTCGTCAGACGTGGAGACGCGAGGGTTGCCCCCCCTTGCCCCACCACCTCGTGTGTGTGGAGAAGTTTACCTTACCTTACCTTACCTTACCGACCGACGAACACACGAACTCGTCCATTACACGAGAGAGTAGCCTGTGGCTGAGCAGAGCTGAGCACACACCAAGGCCCGCTGATGACCACATGCGACATGCCACATAATTTACCCTCAGAGAGCTCGACTACCCACCGCACCACCGACCCGATGCGGACGAGAACAGAGGCGAAGCGCGAGGTGGAGGAGGGCACGCCCGGTCGTCCCGGTTCACCTCTCGGATACGTTCCTGTGCACCTCGGGCGTGCCTGTGAAGAATAGGCCGCACGCTCCTGTGCGCCCTTCGCCCTTTCCCTCACTGCCCCGGACCCCACGCCTCGATCTTCTTGGCCCGCCTTCTCCTCAGCTGCCTCTTCCTTTATCGCCCCCTCCCTCCCAACTTCGCCGTCCCCCCTACCGCCCCCCCCCCACGCGGCGCCGCTCTTTCGGGCGCCCCCTTCGGCGTTCCTGCGCGTTCCCGGGTGCCTTTGCGCCTGGCGGCGGTTCCTCTGGGGTCTCTGTCTACGCCGCCTCTTGTGC